GGTACTAGGTTTCTGTGTGTGTTGGGTGTAGGTACTGAGTTCGTCCACACAGTACTAGGTGTCTGTGTGTGTTGGTTGTAGGTACTTGGTTCATCCACATGGTACCTGGTTTCTGTGTGTGTTGGGTGTAGGTACTGTACTGAGTTCGTCCACACGGTACTAGATGTCTGCGTGTTTGGTGTAGATACTGGGTCTGTCCACACGGTACTCAGTTTCTGTGTGTGTTGGGTGTAGGTACTTGGTTCATTCACACGATACTAGATGTCTGTGCATGTTGGGTGTAGGTACTGGGTCCGTCCACACCCTGTGCGTGTTGGGTGTAGGTACTGGGTCCGTCCACACGGTGCTGGGTGTCTGTGCGTGTTGGGTGCGGGTACCGGGTCCGTCCGCGCGGTGCTGGGTGTCTGTGCGTGTTGGGTGCGGGTACCGGGTCCGTCCGCGCGGTGCTGGGTGTCTGTGCGTGTTGGGTGTGGGTACTGGGTCCGTCCGCGCGGTGCTGGGTGTCTGCGCGTGTTGGGTGTGGGTACTGGGTCTGTCCGCACGGTACTAGGTTTCTGCCCCACGGCGTGGTCCTGTGTTGTACTGGGGACCATCCTTCATTCCACCACGTCCTGCCCCTGGATCTGCGTGCAGCCCAGGCCTTTGCCGCGACGCAGCGGTGCAGCCACTGGTAGCGTTTTCAGCCTGGTTACCGGGCTGCACGACCGCGCCCCAGGGAGGGGCTCCCGTGGAGATTCAGTCGGAATCTGTCCTTCCCACCGGGCAGTGGAGTGTGGTGGTTTGTTTTTGAGACAGGGTCTTTCTGGGCTGCCAGGGTGGAGTGCGGTGGCGTGATCACGGCTCACTGCCGCCCTAACCGCCCAGGCTCAAGCGGTCCTGACTCCTGACCCGGCAGAGCGGCTGGAACCGCAGGCAGGCGCCACCGCACACGGCTGAGCTTTAAATTTTTGTGCAGATGAGTTTTCACTCTGTGGCCCAGGCTGGTCTCAAAGCTTCAGGATCAGGAGATCTTCACTTCCCTGTCACACCCCCTGACCTGTGCCCTGCCCCGTCCCCTCACCTGTGCCCTGCCGCATCCCCTCACCTGTGCCCTGCTCCGTCCTGACCTGTGCCCTGCTCCGTCCCCGACCTGTGCCCTGCCCCGTCCCCTCACCTGTGCCCTGCCCCGTCCCCTCACCTGTGCCCTACTCCGTCCCCAACCTGTGCCCTGCCCCATCCTGACCTGTGCCCTGCCCCGTCCCCTCACCTGTGCCGTGTGCATTTCCCCCTTGCGTGTGCCATTCCTGATGGGCATTTAGGGTCCTTCCTGCTCTTCAGGTGACTCAGCAGCTGGTGCCCCTCATTCCCACAAGCCCCTTCTCCAGTGCACGCTGCCCCGTGGACCTGCGGTTCTGGAGCGCTGCCTTCATCATGTTATTGGCGGTGCCCGTCCACGCTCACAGGGCCGCTTGTTGCGCCCACCAGCCCTGCCTGCAGTGCCCGTCCCTCACAGCCTTGCTAACATCTGTGTGCAGCTTTTTTTAGCTCTCCCCAAACAATCTGGGCATTTGGCTGCCAAGCGCCGGAGCCCTCGAGCTCTCAGTGCTGGCTGGAGGAACCCAGGCCATCGCATGCCCGCCGGTGCCAGTTGTGATCGGGTCCTGGCCATGTTCCTCTGGGAGGCCGGCCGCTCACCTATGACCGGGGGTGGCTGTGGTCCCTGTCGTGTGCCCACACCCAGGTTATTCTCACTTCCAGTCATGCCCTTCCCGATTCTCTGGCCAAGAACTCCAACCAGTGCGTCCACACCGCAGCTCCAGAGTCAGGGATCCCCCCACCCGTCTGCCCACGACGTGGCCCCCCTGCCCCCACCCGTCTGCCCACGATGTGGCCTCCCTCCCACCATACGTCTGCCCACGACGTGGCCCCCCTGCCCCCACCCGTCTGCCCACGATGTGGCCTCCCTCCCCCCATACGTCTGCCCACGACGTGGCCTCCCTCCTCCCACTCGTCTGCCTCACAGTGTGGCCTCCCTCCGCCCACCTGTCTGCCTCACAGTGTGGCTTCCCTCCCCCCACCCGTCTGCCCACCACGTGTCTTCCCTCCCCCCACCCGTCTGCCCACAACGTGGCCTCCCTCCCCCTCACTTGCCCGCCTCACGGATGTCACCTCTCTTCTCTGCCCTCTCCACAACTGCGTTTCTTCCCTCTCACCCTGTCTGACCCTGAGAAGCTCAGAGAATCAGTGGCCCCTCTTGGTAGCCTGGGAAGGCCTCTGCCCTCCTCACCCAGCAAGGGCTGGCGTGGCCTCACACACACGTGGACTCACAGCCAGACACGGGTCTGTCGTCAGAGGTGGCCTGGTTAGGACCAGGCAGAATGCCGCTGGGGTACACGCAGGTCCCAAGGGAGACACCCCAAGCACACCCGTGACGCCGTTCTGGCCTTTGAACCATGTAAATACTTTTTTTCTTTCTTTCTTTTTTTATTCTTTTTGAAACTGAGCCTCGCTCTGTCGCCCAGGCTGGAGTGCAGTGGCGCGATCTCAGCTCCCTGCAACCTCTGCCTCCCGGGTTCAAGCGACTCTCCTGTGATTCTCCTGCCTCAGCCTCCCGAGCAGCCGGAATTAGAGGAGCCCACCACCACCCCCGGCCATTGTTGTGTTTTTAGTAGAGATGGGCTTCAGTATGTCCACCAGGCTGGTCTCCAACTCCTGACCTCAAGTGATCCTCCCTCCTCAGCCTCTGAGTGCTGGGATTACAGGTGTGAGTCACCTCACCCGGCCTCTTGTAAATACTTTACACGTTCAAAATACAGTTAAAAAAAGGAAGGAAGGAAAACCCTAAAATAGAACCGAGACAGAAGAAGTGACCCAGCCGTGTGTCACGTTGATGCGGTAATTACAGGGGCCAGAGTTACTGTGATGATTTTTAAACGCGGAGATTGAACTTCAACACTGGGAAACTCTGGGGCGGGGAGGGCGGGGAGAGCCGGGCGGGTGGCGGCTGCCTCCCCACAGCCCCAGCCGCACGCTGCCCCACTCCAACCCCTGGTTGGGGCACTGATGGGGCCGTGCTGCTGCCGTGAGACGCTCCCTGTGGCACCCACAGAGGGTGGTTTACGTGGGGAGGCAGGAGCAGCACAGGTGTGGGGGGCTCCCGGTGGGACCCCGTCCTGTCTCCAGGGCCCTGCTCCCTGCGCGCCCCTCCCCTGGCTCCCAGCCGACCCTTCTGCCCTCCTGACTCTCCCCAGCTCCGCCGGGGGACGGCTATGTGCAGGCGGACGCCCGGGGCCCCCCGGAGCCCGAGGAGCACCTGTACGTCAACACCCAGGGTCTGGACGCCCCTGAGCCGGAGGACACGGCGCCCCTGCAGCCCAAGGACAGCCCCAAGAAGGATCTGTTTGATATGCGTATGTGGGCAGCGTGGGGGAGGCCCCCGCTGCGTGGCCCTGCTGTCTGATGGGGGAGGCACAGCACCCCCCCCCGGGATCCCTGGTTTGATGGGGGAGGCTCATCCTCCTCCCCTTGAGATTCTCCAAGTCAACAAGGGTGGTGGGGAAGCCCTGTCTGTTTCCTGTTGGAGGCCTTGTCTGATGGGGGCGGCCTGGACTCTGCTGTAAAAGGGGCCAATCTGGGGGGGGCCGTTTCCCTCCAGGGAACGCAGCTGGGCCGTGTGGTGGGTGAGGCCCAGCCCTCCTACAGGACCCCGTGTCCTGGGGCGTCCCTGCTGAACTCTCCAGTCTGACTGGGGGTGCTGCCAGCCCCCACCCTGTGAGAAGCTCCAGTCTCTCGGGGGTGACCCACCTGCCTCTGTCGGAACGCCCCTTCTGAAGGGAGGGGCTTCCTCATTCCTTGAAAGAACGGTCCACGTGGTGGGAGGCGGCGGCCCCCTCTGTGAGACCCTCCAGGCAACAGGGGAAGCCAGACCCATGCTCCATGCCCCGTGGACTCCTTAGTCTGAGAGGGGAGGCCTTATCTTTTCTCCGTGGGACCCGCCGCCTGCCGGGGCTCGGGTGGCTGCCTGCTCTGTGGGTCGTGCCCCCGACTCTGGGTCTCCCTGGTCTGATGAGGTCTTCATGTGACTCCCGGGTCTGAGGGTTCTTCCTACGGAAGTCCCAGCCTGACGGGGGAGGCGCAGCTTCCTGCTTGAAGGAACCCCTGGTCCAAGGAGGGAGGCTCAGTCCACACCCAGACGCAGTGGCTTGTCCGGGCGAGCCCATTCCCTCCTTCCCCATGGGATGACCCAGCCCGAGGGAGGCCCCAGTCTGAAGGCGGAGGCTCGTCCTGCCTCGCCAAAGGTGTCGTTCTCTCCGGATTTCCTGCAGCGTCCACGCTGCCCTCCTCCGGCATGGAGGGGTGTTGGCTCTGAGCTGCCGGGTGGGGTCCTCGCCCGAGCCCCGACACCTCCCCCACTAGCTGTAGGTTTCTTCCTTCCCTCCATCATCTGACAACGCAGCTTCTTAGCATCGCAGTAATGACACTAGCGAGCACCCAGTGGGCGCCTCCTCAGCACCAGGCGCTGCACGGCACCCTCAGACGGGAACGGAGGGGCTTGAGCTGTGAGTTCCCTCCGAGGCAGGCGACCCTCAGGGCGACCGGACTGACCGCCAGGCAGCCCCCGGTGAGGGAGGGTGGCGTCTTGTCCATCCTCCGTGGAGAGTCCTGGGGCTGCTTCTGATTTGCCACATGGGCATCTCGAGCCAACCGCTGGCCGGAGGGCGAGGTGAACATGCAGACTGGGCAGGCTAGGAGTCGGAGCTGGCTCAGTGCCAGGGTCCGGGCGGGAGGACTCCGGGGACCAGGAGCCAGAGGAATTCC